TAATGAATCCCCGTGAGCCCAGATAAGACTTGGGTTATGAAAAATGTTGTTTAACATCCATTGAATTTTCGAAAATGATTTTGAAAATTTTACTCTGATATTTAGAAAGTCCGGAATTTCTTTAAAATCAAAGTGGGGTGTTACAAATGATGTGCCTGTTTATGCATTATTTGATACCGGAGCGACCCATTCTTTTATATCAGGACAATGTCTCGAAGCTATTGGGGTTCGTTCCACTACCGCTATCGATCCTCTCGAGGTGAGTTTAGCCTCAGGGAAGAAAGATAGTGACTGACGCTAGAGCCACCGATCTCAGCCTTTCCATCCGCGGCCGTATTCTGAGTACTAATACTTATGTTATCGAGATGAGGGATTTTGACCTCATACTCGGTATGGATTGGCTAACTCCTTTTCACGCAGATATTCGATGTTTCGACCGGGAGATTACTCTTTATCTTCTGGGAGATGATCAGATCACTTATTATGGCTCCAGGACTCGTACTCTGCCACATGTTATTTCTATGGCAAAAGCCAGAAAGATTCTTCGACGGGGTGATTGCCAGGGTTATCTTGTGATCCTCGTTGGGGATGAGCCAAAGGCACGTTCACCTCATGACATTCCTATCGTTCGTGAGTTCGTGGACGTGTTTCTAGACCAGCTTCCCGGAGGTCCACCTAGGCGACAGGTGGAATTTTCTATTGATATTATCCCTGGAGTTAGACCCGTTTCAAAGGCACCGTACAGAATGGCGCCTAAAGAATTGCAGGAATTAAAGACCCAAATTCAAGAGTTGCTGAATCTCGGTTTTATACAACCGAGCATTTCTCCTTGGGGAGCACCAGTCCTTTTTGTCAAGAAGAAGGACGAATCCATGCGTATGTGTATCGACTACCTAGATCTTAACCGGTTGACGATTAAGGATAAATATCCGCTTCCCAGGATATATGATTTATTTGATTAGTTGAGGGGTGCCTGCGTGTTTTCCAAGATTGATTTGCGTTCAGGCTACCATCAGCTGAAAATCAAGGAGTCAGACATACCCAAGACAGTCTTTCGTACGAGATGCGGTCACTTCGAGTTTGTGGTTATGCCGTTTGGCCTCAGTAATGCCCCGACAATATTCATGGACCTGATGAACCGTGTATTTGATCCTTTTCTCGATCAGTTCGTTATTGTCTTCATCGATGATATTCTTATTTATTATAAAAGCCAGAAGGAGCACGAGGAGCACCTGAGGGCCGTTCTTTCGACCCTTAGACGCGAGAAGTTATATGCAAAGTTCTCCAAGTGCGAATTTTGGCTTCAGCGAGTGGCTTTTCTTGGCCACATTATTACTTCAGCAGGTATTGAGGTTGATCCTTCCAAAATTGCTGCAGTTCAGAATTGGTCAGCACCAAAGAATCCGTCCGAGGTTCGTAGTTTTGTCGGCCTTGCAGGTTATTATCGCAGATTTATCGAGGGGTTCTCGAAGATTGCCCTCCCTTTGTCTCAGCTGACGAGGAAGTCTGTAAAGTTCGAATGGACAGACCGTTGTAAGTCCAGTTTTCAAGAGCTGAAAAGGAGGCTTACGACGGCACCGGTGTTGACTATTCCAGATCCTTCTCGGAGCTTCACCATCTATAGTGATGCTTCGAGGTAGGGTTTGGGATGTGTACTTATGCAAGATGGCCAGGTCGTTGCTTATGCGTCACGCCAGCTTAAAACACATGAACAGAACTATCCGACGCACGACTTGGAATTAGCTGCAGTTGTTCATGCCCTTAAGATTTGCGACACTATCTATACGGCGGTCAATGCAAAATCTTTACCGATCATAATATCTTACAGTACATTTTTACTCAGAAGGAGCTCAACATGAGACAGTGCCGTTGGTTCGAGCTCGTCAAGGATTACGATTGTACGATCCAGTACCATCCGGGAAAGGTGAATGTTGTTGCTGATGCCCTAAGCCGCAAGGTGAAGGGTGACTTGACGTATGTGGTTACTCAACAGAGTCAGTTGATACGAGAGTTTGCCCGGATGCGGATTCAGGTGATTGATGCACTTTCTACCGCCAGTACGGGGAGTGTGAATTCCATGCAGGTTCAGCCGACGATGAGAGAGAGAATCCGGCAAGAGATGGCTTCAGATGAGTTTATTCGTACGATTGATGCCAAGGTTCGTGCCGGAGGCGTCGAGGATTTTCACCAAGGCACTGATGGGGCCTTGGAGTTTCGTGGCAGGATTGTGGTGCCGAAAGTCGAAGCATTGAGAAAGGAGATTCTATCTGAGGCTAATACCGCACCCTATCTAGCCCATCCAGGAAGTATAAAGATGTACCATGACCTGAAATGGTCGTTTTGGTGGAGAGGATTGAAGAAAGACGTGGCCGACTTTGTAAGAAGATGTTTAACCTGTCAGCAAGTCAAAGCCGAGCATAAGAGTCCCATAGGCCTTCTACGACCACTGCCGATTCTGAGATGGAAGTGGGAGGAGGTTGCGATGGATTTTGTCACGGGTTTACCAAGGTCGTCTGAACATCACGACGCTATCTGGGTCGTGGTCGACAGATTGACTAAGGTTGCTCATTTCTTGCCAGTATCGATGAGTATGTCTTTGGATCGGTTGGCTGAGATTTATGTCTGTGGGATCGTTCGACTCCATGGAGTACCTGTTACTGTCGTGTCAGATAGAGACCCCAGATTCACCAGTAGATTCTGGAAGAGTTTACACGAGGCGATGGGTACAAAGCTAGCCTTCAGTTCAGCCTACCATCGCGAGACTGACGGGCAGACGGAACGGACTATACAGACGTTGGAGGATATGTTACGTGCTTTGATTGTTGACAGGGGTGCTAAATAGAAGTCGTTATTACCGTTCGAGTTTGCGTACAACAACAGTTATCATTCCTCTATTCAGATGGCTCCTTATGATGCACTATACGGTCGTAAATGTCGTTCCCCTCTTTATTGGGATGACGTCGGTGAACGTCGAATACTGGGTCTGAAGCTGATCGAGGAGACAGCCAAACAAGTCGAGTTGATTTGGCAGAGACTCAGGACAGCTCAGAGCAGAATGAAATCAACCGCCAATCATCATCGACGAGATATTAAGTTCGCAGTTGGCGAGCATGCTTTTCTCAGAGTTAGTCCATTTCGTGGAGTGGTTTGATTCGGGAAGATAGGGAAGTTGCACCCTCGGTTCATCGGCCCGTTCGAAGTACTCGAGCGAGTGGGCGATGTTGCGTATCGTTTAGCCTTACCTCCCGAGTTATCCAGTGTTCACAATGTCTTTCATGTATCTATGTTACGCAAGTACGTGTGCGACCCCGATCATGTCATTCCTCATACTGATATTGAGGTTTATTCAGATTTATCTTACGAGGAGCGACCGGTGGCTGTGTTGGACCGACATGTTCGACGACTCCGGAAGCGTAATGTTCCCCTCGTTCGTATTCAGTGGGATCGCCACGAAGCTACTTGGGAGTAAGAGGCTGACATTCGCGCTCGTTTTCCCGACTTTCAGTTTTGAAATGTATATCTTTCATGTATATATGTTTTGTTTTATATTTCCGAGGACGGAAATATTTTAAGGGGGGTAGATTGTAATAACCCGACTTCTTGTTAATATAAAGGATGTCTTATCTTTTATTAATTCCGTTCATTTTCAGCAATTACGTTCGACGTTAAGTCAAAAAGATTATCCGCTTAATTATTAACCGAGTCAAATTCGATAATTAATTTCCGAACCATTAATTCTATTAACGGACATCATTAATCGGGAATAATTTATAATAGTTAAGAATGTTCGGAACTAAGTTCGAAGCCGAAATTAAGTTAAATCATGAGTACACGCAAGGTGCACTAAGCATGCACGCGTATCGCATGCCGTGCGTACGCCTACGCCCGCAAAACGCGCATCGCGCGCACCGCTGCGCATCGCGCACCAGCGCGCGCGTTAAGTATCCGCTAAGCACACGCTTATGTTCCATTAATCCCCATGATCAAGTTAAGCCAACCCAAATCTCAAGTCTTTGTTTGAGCCGTGAGGATTAGTATCTAGGATAACCATGGGTGCAAGTTGCCGTGGTGACTCACCTAGTAACTTGTACACATGGCGTGACGCGGACGCACGGCGATGACTAAGCCCGTGCATGGCCGCCACCTCGGCAATGACTAAGCCAAGATCACCCACACTTCAGCCACGTTTATGCCACTTGTTGTCAAGGGAAGCTATGTCATCACTCACCCCTTTGACCCCAATTTTATCCTCGGTTTTTACCATCTCTTTAAATACCGAAAAAGTAATTTCCCCAAGCATTTCTCATGCAAAGTCGAACCATTTTCAGAGTATAAACTGAGGGAAAAACCGTAAGGAAAAATAAGAGAAAAATAGTACAAAAATAGCTAAGGAAAGGGGGAGCAAAGGAGAAGCAAGAACGTCCGCGACCGAGCACCATACACGTACGCACATCATCGTGCATTCCACGTCCAAACTGAAGGGTTGTTGGGGTATACAGTAAAGCAAACTTTTATGTGCGCTTTTGGATTGTATTTATTCGATTTCCCATTTGACTGAAATAAATGTTTTCACATTGTTGCATTCTTTATGATTGCTTGTATGCTAAATGTCCAATTATCTTATATTGT